CACAGCCACTCAGTCTTGGAAGGGTTGAGCCTGAGCCTGTTCCTCCCCATCCAGATCCGCACAGCCTCCAGGCACTGGGACATCACTTCAAGAGCATCATTGGGGTGGCCTGGGGTGGAGATGTACAGCTGGTTGTCATCAGCGTACTGGTGGTATCTCACCCCAAAGCCACGGATGATCTCGCCCAGCGGCTTTACATAAATGTTGAACAGAAGGGGCGAGAGAACTGATCCCTGTGGCACTCCACAGATGAGAGGCCTCGAGGTCGACCTCTGCCCCCCTGCCAACACAAACTGCGACCGGTCGGAGAGAAAGGAGGACAACCACCGCAACACGGTGCCTCCCACCCCCAACTCTTCCAGCCGGTGCAGCATGATACCATGGTCGATAGTATATTTCCATATTCCCCACAGAATTTCTTTGCAACATTATCAATTTATTCTTACTAATTGTTCTATCCACCACCACAGATTTTCCCACTTATTAAATCTCCATTCATACTGTAAAATGCTTGCATTGTAAATGTATGGTAATATTGATCAATGGCTAACAATGACTACAGGAATTAGAATAAATGAAACAGCTACACAAATATGATTGATTATTGTATGATTCACCACAGTGGCATATTACTGAACTGCAAAATCTGTCTTTGATGAAAAATAATAGAATTAGAATTAAAAATCACAAAACAGATGGGTAATTTGCCATTTAATGTTTATTTTCATATAGGAAAAAGATAGACTTTGAAATAGTTTTTTCTACATTTCCACCCCCTATTTGCTGGAGTGGAACTGCTTCACACAAGGCAAAAATACTACATTCATACTGTTTTATTTGGGCACCCTGTACTTAGCTGAAGTAGTGATACCCAAACTGGCAGATCTAAATTTCAAACATGAGACTCATTTCTAAAATACAACAGTAAAAAGAAACAAAGATCTATTGCAAATGCATGAATTAGGATACAATGCTTCAAAACATTTCCATTTAAGAATTGCAATACAGTGAATGTCTTTTTTAGGCCATCTTACATATGCATATCTATATTTATATATAATATAATATAATATATATATATATAAAAATCAGCACACTTTTTCAGTTCAAAAGGGGTTACAGCTATGAGCTCCTCTGTTTAATTCTTTCTTTTAAGTGGATACTTATGTTTTGTTAACTCAGTAGTACAAGCTATCTCTGATCTACATTCTTTTTTTTTCTTTTTAGCTACTAGAGTGAAATATTATCCACAACATTTACATTTCACATAACTTGGTATACAAACAGTACATTGGAATATGAGCCAAGGACAGATAATCTTTTGAATTATTTCATCATCAGATAGAGCTTTCTGCATTTAGTATTTCCTAAATTAATTCTTATTTCTGAAGTTTTGTCAGGAATCCAAAACTGAAATTTTTGTAGAAGCCAGCAAACTTCTGTTTAGATCAGATAATGCAGTCTAATAATAAGATGCAACTATTCCTCATAAAATTGATTCACAATTCACTATGTTAAGGTAATTTTAAGACCTTTATCTGGTTTCCTTGAAAAAACCTCACAATTTAGAAATCCTTGAAAACAAACTAAATTAGGGATTTTTGTTTTATTTTCTTTCCAATTTTTGTTCTTCAACTTTTAGTAGAAAATTCTAATCCTACAAAATAATACAGAAAGCTCTTTCCATTAGAATTGACAAATTACTTAGGTTGACTTTACATTAGAAAAGTCATCAAAACTTAGGGACAAAATATATTGATAGATGAAAAACTGTAGGGTTCCATTTGCATTTTAAAATGTGGACAGCAGCAAGATTGAAGGCCCTTAGCATTTTATAAATGTAGGGCATAACATTGGAGACCAAGAATAGTAACCACTTTGATGTGTCCAACAATATAAATTAATATGAAAAGTAGTTTTAATAGAGAGGGTGTTTTCCTCTCACTCATCACCAGAAAAAATATGAATTATTAATGTACTTATATGTTTAAAAAGAAAAATGTATCTGAAAATTAATCTCTCTTGTACCACCAAACTTGAATTTTGATGGGAAGATTTTATTTCAATATATTGATGATGAGCAATGAGAGTTATGGGAATATATAAATAGATTTTTTAAAAAGTGCAGTTCCCTACCAAGTCAAGATCAGTGAAATTAATGCTATAGATTTTTATTCCATAGAAAATGATAATGTTCTATTTTGCTGTAACAAAGGAATGGGGTAGACCAGTCTTTTCTAAAGGGCTCAGTAAACAATTCCTGTGCTCAGTCTGTTACACCCATTTCCCAAAACAATTATCCTGTCTTGATATCCTTCCGGACCTCTTTGCTATTAGAAGTAGAAAGCAAAGTTGTCAAGATAATCAGGAAATTTGTCCTAATAGAAAACTGAAGCAGTAGAAATCCAAGTATTATAGAAAAGAAGCATTTTTCTTGCCATTACATAAATCCAAGAAACTTGTGTACTTGACAAAGAAGCCTGTTATCTTTGTGGGAAATAACCACCAGCTTATTTTTACAGGTTTACTCCTTGAGGATCCGTTCCATTCCCATCTCCCTCAAATTTCTTCATTTTATAGAATGATTTCTTGTTTGTGAATGCTGCTAGTTTGTTAAGAAGAATCCAGAAAGAAATATTGCATTAATGTGAAATTTGAGGATGATAAATCCTCAAATAGATTGGATGAAAGATCAAACCCAGAAATAAGAAAGTTACAAAAAGCAGTTTCTAACTTCTAAGCTTCACTTTACCTTAACCCTGACTGGAAAAAAAGTTTAGAAGAGTTTACAGCAGTTGCTTTGCATTAAAATAAATGAAGGCACAAATAAAAAGCATTAGAATTCATAGTTTTCAAACCTGAAATGGTAACTTCCTTGAGGATGTGTCCACTAAAATAGCCAGTTGTGTTTATGACTAAGGGACACTAAACTCAAGTCTCAAATCTTTAAAAATATTCAGAAAGAGCATATAGACCTAACAAATTTTAGAAAATTCACTGAAAACCTTTTACTAATTAACAGACACTGAAATAGCTATTAAATAGTGGACCTATATTTTGTGCCATTGGGCTGGCAATAGATTCACCTCTAGAAAAAGTAGAAATGCATAAAATAGAATCTACTGAAAAGTTTAAAGAGAACACATTCACACTAATATATGTTTTAGACCATTAAATTGATTTTAAGCTTTTTGCTGAATTGCCTAAGATTTCTACTTCATATAGCTCACAATGCGTACATTATTGATAGATAAAATGGCACCACAATATGCTAGAAGGTAGCAATGGCATCAATCTTTCTCTGTCTCCTACCAAGCCAGCCAAATATAGTGTAAGAAAGACCCAAGTGATTTCTCTTATAAAACATGGATTCCTAACTAGATTATTGGATTTTACTATATGAAAACTGTTGCCAAGTTGTTATGGGCTCTCAAAACAAGTATGTGGCTGCTGATCATTCTGGAATTTTCAGCATATATTTAAAACTGTGTTTAATGTAGGAATGTATCCCTGAATTAAAAATTCAGATATCTATAAAAATAAATCACTACCTTGAGATATAAAAAACTAAAACACATCTTTGGGGAATTCTATCACATGCATATTGCCTTAGCACATCCTGACTTAATTCAGTTAGTAGAACAGTTTCCAAACATTATCATGGTTAAGAATTTGGGAGAACCAAATTAAAACTCACACCTATATGATCTCCACTTTACATGTTTTGTTGGTATATCAGTGTATCTGAACTGGGTCAGTGGTAAACGTAATTAGCTTTTCCCTTACTGAATAACTTGTACTGAAAAATGAGGAAACCCTGTATGTCATAGACCATTGGATAATCATGAAAATGTTGCATAAGACCGAGGGCTCTAAATATAATGTGCTTTTAATTCTTAAAAATATTTTTTTTCCCTGCTTCTAGATAAGAATTCAAACTTGGTAATGTTTCTTTACTATGATCAAAAAATGGCATAGATTTTTTACTTGCCTATTGATTTTAATTTAAGTTTCCCTATGCCAAAGAAGGAACAAAACAGCTAGGTGGCCAGGCTGATCCTAGAGATACAAACGTCTCAATTGCAGTTAATTTTTTTACTTAATTAGACATGGATTGGACAATTTTATGATTCACACATCACACTAAACACGTCCCTTCAATTCCATCATGACTTAATGTGATGAGTGAATATAATATTAGATTAAGTAAACTAGAACTCTATACTCCTCCCTTACCGGGGAGAAAATTCCACTTAACTGTTATGTAAAGGATAGCCTTGTTGTTGTTGTTGTTGTTTTAAAAAGGCCCCTATTTCAGCAAATGAAATATATTCAAACTACCACTACTTATGGTAATTGGCATAGTTATATTTAGACCAAATCTTACTTGGAATTTTTTTCCTCTCTCTCTCATGCATAGCTACACTTGTGACTGAGCTCCCTTATTGCTATATCAAGAACTTTCTTAACATTAAATATACAAGACCAACTGAAGGCCAGGAAGATTAAAGAGATGCGCTGTTTAGAAAAAAATGCGATTACACAACAGGAAAACTGCATCATTAAAAGGTAAATGTGACTGTCAGACACTGGAGATGCTATAAGCTAACCTTTTTCCACCTGGAGTCTGCCAGATGGGTCTGGATTGCAGAATTTTGAGCCAACAGCAGTTTTGGCCATGTAGTATGAGAATTCTAGGAGATGGATACCACATTTGGGAAGGCTGAGAATCCAAGAAGCTAACAAAAAAAAAAGATATGGACAACATATATTAGCTAAGGAATATGTATATGGTCACATTTGAATCATAGCTAACCACACAACCAAAGCAACTGGCAATGATCTGTAAGCAAGGAAATGTAAGTAAGAAGCAGTCAATCTGTCTTAAAATTAGGTTTATTTAACTCAACCCGTCTGATGAACAGACACACAGCTTCTCTCTTTATGTAGGAAGGACTAAGAATACTCCTAATGGACAAAACACAAAAACAACCTCTATATGGCACTTTCAATAAATACTTTAAAGCTTCTCAAAACTTTTGTTTCAATGGAAAAGCAAAGCAACTGCTGTATGAAGCTTATTTTAACCATTATAGTAACAATGCTGCGAGACAGGAATAAGCACACTTGAAGCAATACAGCAATAATAACAGTGTGTAACTTCCTCACTGCTAACCATGCACCATGGCTGTTAGTGACATTCAGATGTCAAGGTTTATTTCACCTCAATAGATCTATTTTCCTTCACTTTGTTTTTTGCAGAAGCCACTGTTGTTAAGGGCAACATTATCATCCATAAAGACATAAATTAGAACTTTGTTGAGGCCTCCTAATTGGTAGCCTTCCAAATAAAGCCTGCTACTCCCGTATGTAAAATTATAGTCTCTGCTCAAAACATTACTTTACGTCGAGACTGCAAAAATCAAAGGAGTTGCTAATAACTTTAAAAATCATAATACATGGGTGGGCCCATGTTGTCTTAGTTTGATTCTCCACAGTGGCTTGAGGCTTTGCAGAGCAAATGTGCCAACCACTTTCTTGTATATTCTGAATGCATTAAATCACTGACTCTAAGATTTTGTTTTTTTCTTAATAGAGCCAGTGCCAAATCAAGTTTCTGAATCAATCAGATGCTTAATCTTGATATAAAACAGAGTGAAGAACGATAAAAGTCTATTCCGGGGAAAAAAATGGACAGCCCATGACCAATGAAACTATCATCCTGTTTAGTCAATCATATGCAAAGTTAGTCTTTTAACATAGTAGTCACTGACAATTGTTGAATAAATCCCCAAGAAATTCACGGTGCCTGCAGAAGCTGCAATGACACCAAAATGACATCTGCACAATGATGTAATTATGCAAATGCCTCCATTATGTACAAGTTGCAGGACACCTGAGACAAAATATATACATCATGGCATCTGTATGATTACATACATGTCACCACTTGTTCCCTAACAGAAGCCCACTCCTGAAGTTCAGAAAAGGTGCCTGCATTTGCCATCTACAACCATTTTTTGAAGTAATAAATTAACTCATCTTCCTCAATTAATTTTAGCTTATGTAAAAGCAAACCTAACGTATTTCAGGATTGCTCACGGTTACCTTAAATAGTTTAGAGATTCAAGCATTGAGCAAAGAGAAGGAGCATCAGTATTTCTGCTTCCTTATTAGAGAGGCAGCTGTTTTTCCCAAGAAAAGGATAAAATCGCAAATTTCAATTCTTCCCCCCCTTGAAATAGATACAGAAGCATGCAGAGTGAAACTGGTTTTTTTTTTGTTTTTTTTTTGCACATTCATAAGCAGTCAAAAGCGACTCTCTTTCTTGTCTTATAAAGCAAAAAAGGCAATTCGTTTTGGGCACCTCTGCTTCCACATGCCCGCTTGGCAAGATTAGTTTCCTTTTGCTGTTCTTTATTTGTTAGAAAAGCTTCTCTGAGATTCTCCTACAGTTAATTAAAATGCTTTGGGGAAAAGGAATTGCATTGCAACCTTTGTGTTTTTACTGAATGATCAAATTTGTATTGCGTTAACTGGGTGTCAGTCAACCAACAGCTGAATAACAAATCTAAAGAAAATAATTTGATTAGCATCTCCTGAGGAAAATATTTCATAAAGGAAATGCTATACTAATAATTCTTTGCTAAAACAACTTGTGCTCCTGCTACTCCCACCAATTTTTTTTTTTAAATAATGGAAACAAGCCTTCACAAGTAATGGTGAATATGTCCAGGAATCTTGTATAGCCAATTCCTCTAAAATTGTTTACATGTATTTACAATGGTGCTTTATAGAAAGAAAAAGAAAAGAAGTGGTAGCATTTTCTAAAAGATTGGGGGAAATTTTTTCTTTTTTCTTCTTCTTTTTTTAAAACTCCCTTTTCATAAAAGCCAACTTACGTTAAAATTTACATACTCCAAGATAACACAACTAACAAAATATATAATAAAACTCATACAAGTAGAAAATTTTGAGGTATTTCTGGTTTGAGGTGGTCTGTGGTCGAGGTTTACTTTTTTAGTTAAACCTCAAAAGCCACTTCATGTGTATGTGTATTCTAAGTTTTTTTTTTTTTTTTTATAAATCATTGCATGTTTTGCAGGTTAAAAAAATATTTAAATGTTATATTGGCAGCATTAGGAGTATTCACTGACTAGAGCGGATTTTATGGCATAGTAGAATTAAGAGTATTGAAAATATGCACCACTGTTAAGACGAAAAAGTTGGGTGACAGACTTCAGAGAATGAAGAATCAAGAAAAATCAAAACCCATCAATTTCAACCAGCTGTGAGCTGTATTGAAAGCAAAGGAATTTGTGTTAAAGTGTGAAAGTAAACTTAGAAACAGAACTCTATAAAAGATGTAAGTTGCCAAGGTTGAGACACATTGGCCTAAACTATATCTATTCTTACCATAAATCAAAGAAAGATAGACAACTGTATTCAACTGTATTCAACCGCCATGATCTTTGCCAAAGGACTATGGAGACGTGTCCAGAGAAGGTGTCAAAAAAGTTAAGATGGCCATGATCACAGCTGCCATCTTGATTTTTTTTTTTTATACACGCCATGTCCATTCCCATGAAGACTCAGGGACAATTGGTGATGGCATTTCTGTGTCCTTAATGGGGAATGTTTATCTCCCTTTACAATGCCTGATAAGTCATAGCAGCTAAACAGCCTTGACATTTGTCCTGCAGATATCTAAGATCTAAGAGTGAGATTGAATTTTATTAGTCCTGGCTACATTTACTTGGAAGTTAAGTTTTACTGATTTCAATGAGTCTTCAAAGAAAAGGCTGTTTCACATCGTGAACGACATTGAATACCAAATGCCAATACATAACTGGATACACTGGCCTTTTTAAAGCTCCAGGTTGTTGTCTTTCGTGGGTTGTTGTTTTTTTTAAATTTGATTAAAATGGCAGAAAAATTGTTTAGGGCTGTAACTTTGCCCTGTTAAGACAACTGAGGGAAATCTGCAGTTATTGAATCCTAAGACCTCATTCTCTGAACTTATAAATGTAATAGAAAGGGTTGGTTTCATTTAATTCATTACCCAAGCCTGAGATATTTTAAGAATCCATTTGTATCAGTGATTTTGTGACCCAACTTTTTCTGCATGTTGTAGCAGTTTAATATGCCTCAAAACTTGCCCATCCTCTCATTAACTGTTTTCCTGAGAAGTAACTCTTTAGCCACTGTTTCTCCAAATGCTGCAAAAGTCCAACATCTCCACCCAGCCCTAACTTCTCATTTTCAATTCTACCATCAGAGTTAATATTCTCGACTCAGTCACTCCCCCCCCAAAGAACGCAACACCCGTTAGACCCGTAAAAGACACATCTGCTTTTTTCTTTTTTTTTTTAAGCTCACTGTCTAAAATAGAAAAGAAAGGAAAGGAAAAGTAGTAGTAGTAGTAGGGGGGTGGAGAAATCCATTTTTTGAGAGGTGTGATCTCATGGAACAGTCTTGATTTTGCAGCATGTATAAGAAGATGAGTAGGTTCTTTCCTTGTTATCACTGATATTTGGTGTAAAAATTGCAGGTTAGTTAGAAGAGAAAACAGGTTGAAAAAGAAACGAAGAGAGTTCACTGAGGCTTTGAGGTACCTGCACTGTAACTGCATTCATTAGTCGGCACCTGGACGCTTTCAGAGTGATGTCTTTCTCTTATTATTTTTTTTTCTCTTTTCAATACAGTAGAGCAATATGCTGGTAAATTGATTCAATCAAAACAACAACAACAACAACACAACAAATAATAACAATAGCAAGAAAAGTCAAGAAAATAGCAGCTGCATTCATGTATATGTATGCGTGTGTGTGTTGAATTCTGCAATTTTTTTTTTTCGGAAAAAAAAAATCCACTGCGTCTGAAGAGACCAGTGGGAAAAAAAAAGGCAAACAAGGATTTTAGATACTTGACTCTTTGGGCAGCAAATCTACGTTGGTGACAGAGGTCACGATGGAAACAAGGCAGTCGAGGGTACTACCATTGGCTGACTTGCGAATCTGGGCGATGCGCTCTTCCACACAACCGGCTGACAGTCTGGCCTCCGCATCATGATCCCAGCATTCTTCAATTGTAACACACAGCTGAGCTATGCCCTGCGTGCCCAAAGAGAAAGAAAAAGAGAGAGAGAGGGAGAGAGAGAGAGAGAGGAAGAAAGAAAGAGAGAGACAGAAAAAAAGAAGGGTTTAGCCAGAGAAAGTGGACCAATGTCGCTTCAGGATGCCAGATGTACATATCGCATTTGTGGTACAACTGTAATGCAGTCTCCCCATTAGAGTTGTAAATCGCTAACAGTCACAAAACGAGTGAGTCATGTTGACTGACTAGAGTTTACTAATTTTTGTTTTGTTGGTTGTTAAACAAATAGCAATAGCATTTAAGACTTATATACCTCTTCACAATGCTTTTACAGCCCTCTCTTAAGTGGTTTACAGAGTCAGCCTATTGCCCCCAAACAACCTGGGTCCTCATTTTACCCACCACGGAAGCTTGGAAGGCTGAGTCAACCTTGAGCCTGGTGAGATTTGAAATGCCAAATTGCAGGCAGCCGGCAGTCAGCAGAGGTAGCCTGCAGTACTGCATTCTAACCACTGTGCCACTGTGGCTCAAATGTGGTGGACATAAGGGCAAATGCCGTGATTGTTAAGCAAATGGTATGGTTGTTGAGTAAACCCATTGTTAGCCACGGTGCGGTTTTGCCCAAAAACCCAAAGTGCCAGTAAAGCATGCTACGGCATCTCATTGATGGGCCAACCAAAAGAACCAAGAAATGGCTTCTAAAAACATGAAGCAGAAGGTACTCTGAAACTATAGGTAGTCCTCAAATTGTAACCGTTCATTTACAGATCATTTGAAGTTACAATAGCACTGTTTTTCACACTTAGCGACCATTGCAGCACCCCTATGTGATCAAAACCTGGAGGCTTGGCAACCGATTCATATTTATGGCGGCTGCAGTGTCCCACGGTCATGTGATCGACTTTTTGTGACTTTCTGACAAAGTTAAGGGGGAAGCCAGATTCTCTTAACAACCGTGTTATTAACGAATGCAGTGATTCACTTAACAGCTGTAGCAAGAAAGGTTGTAAAATGGGGGAACACTCATTGAACAACTGTCTTGCATAGCAATGGAAATCTGGGTCATAGGTTGAGGACTGCCTGAATTGAGTTTTACTAAACCACACTGGCCCACCCAGCTATGGACATTTGGGGGGGAAATATAAGCATCAAGAAAGGACCTACAGGGTGTTTAAGCCAATGGTCCTTGAACACAGGACGCATCTTCTTATGGACCACAATCTCCTGCAGCTCCTCAAGGGATGGATGTTGGCCAACTTCTTCTTCAAAAGGCAGTAAGTACTCATCCACAGGACCTGTTTTTGCAAGAAGAGAGGGCATTGCTACCAAACACAGGTCATTGGAACCAACAGGCAGCTCCGAAAAATTAGCATCTCACCCACTGCTGTATTAAGCTGTATGCTTCACACAAATATATACTGATTACTTACGTCCTTGTTTAAATGGAATCATTTATTTGAGGTTAAGGTGGCAAATCAACGTTATTAGTCATCCACCCAGCTCTGCAACTCCATAGGGGCAATCAAAGCAGGCTCCTGGTCTGTTTCCCTCCCTTCGCCATTACAATCTGCCTGTACATCCCTTCACTTCCTCCTCAAGTAACAGCTGTGATATTTGTTTATTCCATTAAAATGTTTATATAGCTGCCCATCTTCCAACCAACTCTGAGCAGCCGCTTAAAGAACTACTTACTGTATTCTTATTAGTTCTCTTTGATCAAGAGATAGATTTACTAAAGACAGGATGTTTTAAGAAAGGTTCTTTAAAAGACAAGAGGTTGAACTACAAGAATTCGGTAAAAAGCAGGGGAAGGGAGAATTATTCTATTTCAGATTCGTATCATTTTTGCGTATTTTAAAGCTAAGAAATATATCATGTTGATATGCTACAAGTCAACGCCTTTGTCAAGATCAAATCAGATTAGTTTAATTTAATTGCTGTAATTGGAGTTTGCAAAAAGTGAATCCTAGGAAGATTCCTGAGAAATTTTGCTATAATTTCCATCCCATAACTGTCAGAAAATTCAAATCTTACATTTTTTCATTACAAGATCATGCTCATAAATACGGCTCAGGAATATCCTGTTTGGTATTTCCCTTATTGATTTATTAATTCTCGAAGACCCTACAGTACACATTCCAGCTGCCCCTTAATGAAATTACATTTATAAAACTTGAATGTGCCAAAATCTAATTCTTTAGATTTACTTGGCCCTGAAACATCCAAATAACAAAACTAAACTTAGATTACGTTCTCTAATAACTTACCTTGGTCTCAGTAGTCTCATGTTGGTAGATGAAGCAAAGTTTATAAAGCCTTTAACTTTCTCTAAATTGTCTGCTTTGAACAAAAGTCTGTCACTTTAAGAAAGGCTTTGTATACCGTAATTTAAATGTCTCAAAACGCTTACAAATTTCAACCGTTTCCATTATATGGCATTATGAATATATTCTAACTGCCATGATATGGCATTTAGAATATCCACATAGAAAATTAAATCTTCATAAACTAACTCCAAATGGGTTGGACATACAGTTTTCATAATTTCTAAGGAAGCAAGAACGGCATGTAAAAAGGATATTGGAACTCACCATCAGTTGCTGTGCATCTGGAAACCAACTCCCACAATACCAGGCCCATGGCATACATATCAATTCTCAGGAAGGAATCTCTCTGGAAATTAATTGCTCCTTCCAGGACCTCAGGAGCCATGTATCTTCTGGTTCCCACCTATAATAGACACAGGAATCAGTTACTGGAACTAAACCCATACTTTCAAACTCTGGTTCTTTAAAAAAAAAGAGAGGGGGGGGGGGAGGGAGGGATGAAGAGAGAGAGAGAAAGCAATGAAAAGGAGGAGAGGAAAAAAGCAGAAGTAATAGCAGCTGTTGTTGATATTACCTTGGCTACAGGTAGTCCTCGAGTTATCACACCTTGTTCAATGACTGTTCAGAATTAAGATGTTGCTGAATGAGGGTACTTACAACTGGTCTGTGAAGTTGCAGCTGTCACAGGGTTCTCATACTCATAGGATCACGATCTGGGTGCTCAGGTGTCCAGTTCGCAATTATGACGTTGTAGTGATCCAGTGGTCACATGATTGCCCTTTGCAACCTCTCCCACTGGCTTCCCATGAGCAGTCAATGGGGAAGCCAGCAGGAAAGGTCAGAGGTTGTTATTTCCACTGCTTTTTCTCCCAGGGATCTCATACTCTGTGGCACAGACCTCTCTACCCACCTGTGCTTTGCATCACCTGCCTACCCCCATGACCCCATTGGTTAGTAGCACTGATGAAATTACCTAGTAGGGTAATGAAACGTCTGGAAGAAAACAACCAAGCTCAGAAAGTAGCAAGGACCCCACAGTTCAACCTTGAGCTACAAAGATAATCTTCAATCGATAGACATTGAACCGTCTACCAATGCATTCTTCATCATTTTGACAAGATCAATTGACTTGCTGATGCTTCCAAAAGAATACAGGTAGTTCTCACTTCCTGATCACTCGTTCAGCGACTGTTCAGCGTTACAATGGGGTTGAGAAAGAATAAATTGTACTCTATCATGTGCATGCGACAATGGTGACTAGTTTTTTCAAAATACAGAACCTAGACACTATGTGACAATAACATAGATTTGTCTTATATTTACCTGCCTTCCAAATTAGATTTGCGAAATGAGGTAGTATAAGCTAACCTGCAGGTTTACCTGTCCATGAGTATCTCCTGGAGGCTTCCCGGGTTCAAAGCGTACGGCCAGTCCGAAGTCAGCAAGCACAGCGGTTAAATCATTCTTCAGCAGCACATTCTTGCTCTTGAAATCCCTACAAGGAAAAGGAAAGGAAAAGAAAAGAAAAGGGTATTTAATGTAGTGCATTATCAACATCCAAGATAGAACCATCTGTGTGCGATTTTTGCCACCAATGCCACCAACAGGTGAATGCAAACCCAATTTATGAGAAAGACAATGGGGGTGGGGGAAAATCAGTGAGGATGATATCCAGGCCAACATTAACACAAATTATGTGCAATGGTGTCCTTCCCTTATTGCTTGTACTCTTAATTCCTTTGCCAGCTCTTTACTAGAAAGCAAGTTTGGCATCTAGAATGTTGCCTTGGATTTTGATCTCTACCTGGAGTTTCCCTCAGCTGCATTACTTCCTTATCTACCTCTTAAATTAAACCCTTGTGCTTATTAAGCAACTCCTGGAGTTTCCTTCAGTAGAGGTGGAGGAGAACAGGAAAAAATAAAGAAAGAACGGGGTTGAATATAATTAAATTACAGACTTCAGGCAGCAGATGGTAGATCCACGTGTGCTTGGCATTATAATTCTCTTGCCATCAGTTTAATTGACTGTGGTATCCCAGCCGGTTGGATCACAGGACAAGTGTGGGACCAAGCAATATAATTAATGAGGGCAGATTCTGTGGTGTGTGTTTTTTTTTATCCCCCGTGAAATGCTCTGTCAGAATACATTACGAAGAGAGATGCCTCCATGGAGAGAAAGAGCTCACAAAAGGGTGGAGGGAAAATGCAATGAATTCCCAGGGTTTACAGTATCCCGAAGGAAAATTGTCACCCCCTCCCCCCAGACCCACAATTTTTTTGTTTTGTTTTGTTTTTCAAGGAGGGATAGAAAAGCGGAAAGATAGTTCCCAGGCACTGGGTACATGTTAAAGCTGTTAAAGTTGGCGGAGAAACTATCAGAGAGACCTTATGCCAGATTAGTCAAACTCCTGACAGCCAAGTACACCCAGAACCAAGATTCTCACAGAGGCTTCCCCATCCAGATTTATTAAAAGAAAAAAGGGGATTAGGCTACAGAATTCACAACAACTAAATCCTTTCATTATTCGGACCCCCGTTTGAATTCAGTAAGCTGTAGCTTTGTATGTTCTCCTAAGCTGCCAATGAGAGGTATGTTTTCCGGATAATGAAAGAAAAGGTGCAGATATTTTGGGCTTGCAATGTTTTACAAACCACTTTTTTTTTTTGCAGGGATTGGAAAGACTAACATTATTTCTACAGACGGATGAAGGTTAAGATAGGGGTGGGTATTCTAAGGATTCTCCAAGAATGTCACAGCAGCTGTTCCGTGGCCCTTAAGAGTTGTGGACAGGGCCACCAATTTTTCTCCTTCCTTCCTCTCCTCTCCTCTTCCCTTCTTTCTCCTCTCCTCTCCTGTCCTCTCCCATCCATTTTTGTCCAGATGAAAGAATAGGAAGAAATATCTCCACTGAAGGAAACGGTAGTTCCAATACATGATGAATGAAGGAATGGAGTATGTTTGAAGTGGATTTATTGTATCTGAAATTAAGTGCCATTAGGGGGCAGCACAGCACCAAAAAGCTAGGGTTAATAGTTTTCCATTTCTAGTTTAGTAGAACCTTTTCTGCAGGTTCCTATTGGATAAACAATCCTAGTGCAACCGGCATGGAAGCTCCCAGATGGCTCAGGATCAATGGTGGGATTCAGCCAGTTTGGGAGAACCGGTTGTTAACTTTCTGAGCAATTTGGCGAACTGGTTGTTGGAAGAAATCATTAGGGCAGAGAACCGGTTGTTAAATTATTTGAATCCCATCACTGCTCAGGATGTCCCATTGGATTGCTTTTCCCCTATCCGTGTTTGTCCCCCTCACTCACTATCACCACCACCCCAGTAGTTTAGCCTACTACTTCAAAGGAAAACCAAGGAACGGCTAGTGTTCCCATAAAAACTCACAATTCCCTTGAGCGAATGCATCACTGTTTACGTTGGAAGAGGGAGTGATCCATACATCTCCTTGAGCTCCATCCCAAGGAAAGCAGGATGAACATCTAGAAGTACTTAAACGAACTTTGATTTGGTGCTAAGGTAGACCTAAAATGGGACCTACCTGTGGGCTATAGCAGGCTTATGCCCTCCCTTGCACCAGGGGATGTCCTCATGCAGATAGGAGAGTCCACGGGCCATCGTTTCTGCCACGTGGCAGAGCTCATTCCAGTTGACAACGTTCCCCTTCAGATAGTCAGTCAAAGACCCCTGGGGGAACAAACCTAGGTGATGTCTATGACTCTTTTGACCCCCTCCCAAATCGGATCCATGACTCTTTACTCTAACGTGTGTGTGGCATTTACTGTGAACCCAGCCAGTATTTTAAAGCAGGAATCTTAAGCATGCTTCTCTGGAAGTCATCCCAAGGGTCAGTTCTAAAAGCATGAGTCCGCATAGAATACACACACAACGAGCGCCCAGAATTAACAGCACCTAGGTACACCCACATTACACCAATTCTCTGCAAGCTGCACTGGCTCCCTATTGGTCTCCGGTCACAATTCAAGGTGTTGGTTATTATCTTTAAAGCCCTACATGGCTCAGGGCCAGGTTATCTTCGAGACCGCCTTCTACCGCATAGCTCCCACCGACGGGTAAGATCCCACAGAGTTGGTCTCCTCCGGGTCCCGTCAGCTAAACATGGCCGGCTGGTGGGCCCACGGAGGAGGGCCTTCTCTGTGGCTGCCCCAGCTCTCTGGAACCAGTTACCTCTTGAGATCCGGACTACCCCCATCCTATTGGCCTTCCGAAAAGCGGTGAAGACCTGACTTTTCCAGCAGGCCTGGGGCCGTTGATCTCGCTCTTGCGATCTGGCGAGATCCGGCCATGAATGGTGTGAATGGGTTTTAATTGTTTTTAATGTTTTAATTTTTAATGTTTTTATATATGGTTTTTAAATGCATTGTAAGCCGCCTTGAGTCTTCGGAGAAAGGCGGCATACAAGTTAAATAAATAAATAAATAAATAAATAAATAAACAAATAAACAAACAAACAAACAAACAAACAAACAAACAAACAAAGAGCTGGAAGGCACCTTGGAGGTCTTCTAGCCCAACCCCCTGCTCAAGCAGAAACTCTATACCATTTTAGACTAATGGCTGTCCACTCTCTTCTTAACCCACCCACCACCATCCCGCAGTGTTGGAGCACCCCAACTTCTGGAAGCAAGTCGTTCCACTGATTAATTGTTCTAACTGCCAGGAATTTTTCTCCTTAGTTTTAAGTTGCTTCTCTGCCAGTGACATTCATCTGCAGGAGAGAATTAAACACAAGCTTAAATATCCTCCAAATGGGAATAAATGGGATTGAAAATTAATGCTCAATTTGTTTCGCCGTTACCGAGTTTACAGCAATACATGTACAATGACTGGGCCCACTTACAGGTAGTTCTCGAGTTATGGCCATAATGGAGCCTGCCTATCATGGTCGTAACTCGTTAATGCCCCACGACTGACCTTTTTGATAGTGACTCACTGCAGTCACTAAGGGAACCAATGGGTTCATGCTGAGAGGTTTTGCCAAAAACTGAAAGTAGATGCTGGTTTTTCACAAAAACACCATGAAATGCATTCAAATGACTGCAGGATGCTGCAAACGGCTATTAGTGTGACCGGATTGGCGGAGCACGAAGTGTGGTTGCGTGGCAGCCGGGGGCTGTCAGAATTTTTGAATCCAGATTGTAAATACCCCCTTCCCTCAAGTAAGTATTCAGGAACTTCAAATGGTCATTAAGTGACCAGCCGTAAGTCAAAGACCACCTGTACTTAGATCTGCAGGAGAAGCTCTTCTGAAGATGCACCTGTTGCCAGAAGCTTGATTGTTGCCTCTGAGCTGGAAGAGGGGGGGCTCCTCCCGCGTGGCTAAGAGTCTGTGAAGTGCTCTCCATGAGGAGATGCGTTCTTGGTCCTTCTGACGTCAACAGAAGCATCCACCTAGTCAACCCTGGTTACCAGAGACGGGTTCTAAATTTTTTTACTACCGGTTCTGTGGGCATGGCTTATTTGGTGGGCGTGGCTTGATGGTCATGTGACAATTCTTTAGGATTTAGCAGAGGTACTGGTCTACCAGGCTTTTAACTGCTTGCAGAGCCATATCAGTCTACCCATTTTTTTTTGGAGCACACTGGTCTACCACCACACTGCCTTTTACCACTGATCAGCTGTAGGGCAGCCCTTTGAAGCGCCGCGGCAAGAGTTTAAACAGTTTTTTTTTCCTTCTAGCAGATCAGCTGGGACTCAGGAGGCAGCGAATAGATTGGGGGCGGGGCTAGGCAGAGGTGGCATTTACCGGTTCTCCGAACTACTCAAAATTCCCACTACCGGTTCGCAAGAACCGGAGAGAACCGGTAGCAAGCCACCACTGCTTGTTACCTTATCATGGAAAGCGGTGATCAGCCACAGCTCCGTTTCCAGATTTGTTCCCCTCTTCTCGGCTGCAATAAACTGCAAAAGGTTGTCATGCTTCATTCCCGGGGTGTTGAAGATATCCCTCTCGCTTTGCCAAGATTGCTTGTCCTAGAGAGACAGCAGAAGGTTAAGAAGTGGAGAAACAGACGAACCTGTTCAGAGAACAAATGACAACCTTAGACATTTGTGACGTTATAGCCACCAGGATGATGCTTTTATCTCCCATCAATAAAAAATTTAGTACTGGTAATTTGACCATCTTTGCATTTCCTCCCTTTCTTATTTTCCAGAACTCTTGACATTTTCGTATTTGCAAGTGCAGCTTGCTGTAGAGATGGAATCAACAAATATTGGGATGGGGAGTAGAGAACTGCACCCTTGCAATTTTGAACATGCCAGAAACAAGTATGGTAGACACTGGTGATTGTCCTGCAGATGATTGGTTAACCGTTCAGACGGCTACTTAGGCCAGATAACACAATCAACTTTGCAGGGAGGGCTTCTTCTGCATTTCCTGAATTTATCTTAATTTTGGAAAATGGGAGAAAAGGCACAGGAACCTGATACTCTCACATCCCTTCCATCCTGCATTCTTCTGGATCAACTCCCACAATTCCTCAGCCAGCCTATTAAAATCACTGAGGTTAAGAAATAGTACTGTGGAAAAAAGAAAGAAACGAAAAGTTAAAAAAAAAAAAGCTGGAATAACAGAGATATGGGGGGGTTTTTTTTGTGGCTAGTTGAATAATTCATTTTATGCCTGAAAGACCAACAGCATAGAAGATCAGCCAACCAATAACTTGTATCCAGATGATATAGTGACCTGGGATGAATGTGAGAAACTGGATCTAAATCATGATTAGCCTGGCCTGAATAGGTTTTATGGGTTAGTTTTTAATTGTATTGCTAGGGGTTTTAAACCGTTTAATTTAATTTATTTTTAATTATTTTAACTTTTATATTGTATGTTATTTTAATTCTCGGCTGTTCACCGCCCTGAGTCCCTTCGGGGAGAAGGGCGGGATATAAATTAATTAATTAATTAAATAAATAAATAAATAAATAAATAAATAAATAAATAAATAAATGATGATGATGATGATGATGATGATGATGATGATTACAGATTGTGAACAAGTACAGCCTAAATCATGGTCTGGGAGTAGATGACATCTAAGATGGTGTTTCTCTACTGAGGTAATTTTAAGATAAGTAGACTTCAACTTCCAGAATTCTTCAACCAACATGATGGGAGAATTCTGGGGGATTGAAGTCCATTTGTCATCAAGCAGCCACAGTGGAGAAACATTGGATTAAGCTGACTGAAAATCAAACACAGGTAGTCCTCAACTTACAAGCACAACTGAGCCCAACATTTATGATATTAAGTGAGATATTTGTTAAGTGAGTTTTGTTCCATTGTATGACCATTCTAGCCACAACACAATTGCCGTTGTTAAGTCAGTAACACAGTAACAAGTGAATCTGGCTTCCCCATTGACTTTATTTTGTCAGAAGGTCACATGACCCCTGGAGACTGCAACCGTCATAAATATGAACTGGTTACCAAGCGTCCAAATTTTGATCACATGACCACAGGGATGTTGCAATGATCGTTAAGCGTGGAAAAAATGGTCCAAAGTTACTTTTTTTCAGTGCCATTGTAACTTTGAAACGGTCACTAAATGGACTGCTGTAAATCGAGGACTACCTGTATACGTTTCCACAGCTGCAAGATATGGAAGATAGGAATGAGGACTCTCAATAGCAAGAACACTTATATACCGCTTCACAATGCTTTATAGACCTTTCTAAAGCGGTTTTATATTGCTCCCAACAATCTGGGCCATCATTTTAGCAACCTTGTAAGATGCAGGCTCTAAATGTTATTCAAGCAGGAAATAAAAAGTTAGACATACCCTCTTCTGATCACATCCTTGTCTACAGCAATTCCCACAAAATTGGACAGTAGGTGGATTCTCCCACTCATGTTTGTGTTTTTGGTTCACATGTGGCTTTTTTTTTTTTTTAAATGCTTCATGTTTCTCCTAGCTACTGCCTTGGTTCAAACTTCCCACTATCAGTTGGGAAAAAGTAGCTAAGCTAGGAAGTTCTTCGAACCTTCAGGAGCAAAGGCTGTAGCCCACTGATTGCTTGTCATGTCTCCCCCACTGAAATATGCACTAATGAAGGAGCAGCTATCTGCTTCCTCCCTCGCATTCCAGTTTTCTGATTTATCTGTACAGGAGATGGTGTATTTAAAAAAAAAAAAACGAAAACAGGAACCAGAAAAGAAGTCTGTGAAATGATACAAATACAGATAGTCCTCAGCTTACGACCACAACTGACCCCAAAATTTCCACTGCTAAGCAAAACAGTTGTTAAGTGTGTTTTGCTCCATTTTATGACCTTTCTTGCCACAGTTGTTAAGTGAATCACCGCAGCTGTTTAGTTAGTAACCTGGTTGTTAAGTGAATCTGGCTTCCCCATTGATTTTGCTTGTCAGAAGGTCACAAGAGGCGATCACATGACCCTCCGGAACACTGCAACTGTCATTAAGTACATGCCAGTTGCCAAGCGTTCCAGTTTTGATCACATGATCCTGGGGAAGGCTGCAAAGGTTTTAACTGTGGAAAACGGTCATAAGTCATTTTATTCAGTGACGTCATAACTTTGAACAGTCACTAAATGAACTGTTGTAGATTGAGAGCTCCCGGTAGTAAATGGTTCCAAAGATACTTCCCCTTTTTACATATTTTACATTGTTTTAAGTTTGTATGATGAATGTCTCACATAAGCTTAAGCTATCAAAGATCTGTTACCTGGTACTGTAAAATTTGTTTACTTAGATGACCCAGGAAAGAAGAATAAAGTTTTTAATGATTCCTCTCAATTTGAACATAACGGAGTCTCAGGTTTTTGCCAAGTGCATTATTTATGTTTAACTCTAGCAAGGATGGGTAATCTTTTTGAGATTAAAGGCAACGACAAGCCATAGATTTAACGATTTCCCTCTTCTTGCATTAAAAATTACAATCCTTTGGCAATTTGTGGAAAGGCTTTAGGATACGGTTCCAAGACTTTGGAATCAACGTGCTTTGAAGTGTGATTTGAAATATTTTATCCCCGCTGTCATGCCTGAAGAAGCTGCCAAGATAAATAACATAAAACAGCAATATATAAAATGCTTGCAGATTCACGGAGCTGGGAACTTATTGCCATTCACTTGTGCATAGAACAGAGGCTGCCTGCACACTTACAGAATAAATAATGGCTTAGCGTGAAATCCAAAACAGACCCCCAAGCCATTTGGCTTGAATCGTGCAACCGGGTTTCAATCTATGAAACAAGGGAGATGTAGCAAAGCAGGAGACAAGAGCAATGAACCTTTAAGGGAGGAGAAACGGTAATTCAGTCCCAAGGAAATGTGAAAATAACCCTTGATTTGTTTGGTATAAGATTGGGGGCAGAGAGAAACCATCAAGCTTTCAAGTTTGAGCTTTTCCTACCTAATAGGTGTTTCTCAATCTTGGCGATACTTAAATAATGTAGACTTCAACTCCCAGAATCCCTCCGCCAATATGGCTGGCGGGGGAATTCTGGGAGTTGAAGTCCGCTAACTTCAAGTGGTCAAGGCTGGGACACACTGCTACAGACTTTACTTACCTTGAAAGACTTAAAACATGGACCTCTTGATAAAACTGCTAACCTGGAATTCTGTAAACAGTTTTACCTTGTTCCAGGTGTTATTGGAAAGCAATTCCATTCCTCACCTGTACGGGGAAGATTTTCACTGCCACATACTCATTCATCAGTTGTGCTTTCCAGACACAGCCAAAACGACCTCTGGCTTTGACCTCTAACAACTGCAATGGCTTCAGTCCAACTGTTGGAGAAGGAGGTGGGGGTCCGGGGTCCTAGGAGAGAAAGGTAGGTAGGGGGTGATAGGAATCAGATAAAATTGAAATATTGTCAGGGTATGGAGGAATTTCTTGCAGGAGTTGTTAATGGAGCTGGCAGGTGCCAATGACTGACACAAATTGAGAGGATGTCTATAGAATATCTTATCTTTTTCTCAACTGAGTAGCTTTTAGAGAATTTGATCTGGAGGAGTAGACCATGAATAGGAAATCCAAGGGATTGCAGGTCAGGAATCTTCCCCTAGCCTTTTCACCCCAGTTTTGGCTTTGTTTTTACAGGTTATGTAGGGCAAAAGTTTCCCCTGTCCAGTTGTGTCCAACTCTAGGGCATAGTGCCTATCTCCGTGTTTTGGCCGAGGGAGCCAGCGTTGTCTAAAGACAATTTATGTGGTCATGTGGCCAGCATGGTTATACACCAAAGGTGCATGGAACGCTGCTACCGTCCCAACAAAGTGGTACCTATTTCTCTACTTGCATTTATATGCTTCGGAATTGTTAGATGGTCAGGAGCTAGAGCAAGTGACGGTAGTTCGCCCCGTTGCATGGTACTTGGGTCTTGAACCTGGGCTGTCAGCTCTCCAAGCTCAGCTTCTGTAACCACTGAGCCATTGCGTCCTACACTTAAGTTTACATTCAATTTATTTTATACCACTGGAATGAAGGACAACACTGATAACTAGTTTACCAAAAACCTCTCCCATCTTAACATACCTCGCTGACATCGACGTGCCCATATGGAGGTTTGCGGTGACGGTACATCCAAAAAGCCAGCAAAATGGCAATGGAGAGAGCAGTCATGGGAAACAAGGAATAAACCACAACATGGAGCAAGGAGGCATTTGGAGGCGGTGGCTCATAAACCACTGAAAGAAAGCAAATAGTAACCCTGTTTAGACCAGGTACAAATGTTACTCTCCAACATCCTGCCTTCAAGACAAGGCAGAAGCTACAGGTAGTCCTCAACTTACAACCACAATTGAACCCAAAATTTATGTTGCTAAATGAGACACTTACGTGTTTGCTCCAGATTGAGATCTTTCTTGCCACAGTTGTTAAGCAAAACACTGCAGCTGTTAAGTTAGTTGCCCGGTTGTTAAATGAACATGGCTTTCCCCACTGACTTTGTCTGTCACAAGGTCACATGATCACATGATCCCTGCAACTGTCATAAATATGAACCAGCTGCCCAGTTTCTGAATTTTCATCACTTGACCAAAGGGATGTTGGTCACAAGTCACTTTTTTTCAGTGCCATTGTAACTCTCAATGATCGCGAAATGAACTGTTGTAAGTTGAGGTCTACCTGTATCCTAACGTGACTATTTTCAACCAATTTGATGTGAATGTTAGTACTTGCCCATATTAATAACCGCTGCATTTTTCTTAAGCGTTTATAAGTTCCACAATATCTTTATCTCTCCTTCTATGAAGAAGAGCCCAAAAAAATTCTTCCCCCAAAATGATAGTGCTTAAGAGCCCTACCATACATTTTTCTCCCAGGAAAAAAAATCAATTTGAAAGAGAGGTGAGGGGGGAAATTTGAATTTGTGCAGAAGATCCCCCCATGCTTCATGGCATAACCAGATAGGTACATATGCCTTAATGACTGTTATTTTGGGGTCTCGGCATTTAAGCTTTAGCTTCAATTAAGTTAAAAGAACAGGCATTTCTAAAACATTATATTGTGGCTTTTAAAATGTTATTTTAATCAAAACATTTTAGAGAGGCATGCATATATCATTGAACAGGCTCCAGAATGTTTTGATTTTGGCTCCTGAAAAACGGTCTATTAGGGACCAATATTTTTCATAATTAGTACATTCAGCTGACAGACTGAAGCAAAATTGCAGCGTGGCGGCTTAGCTAGGAATGAACAGTCCATTGGTCCATAATGATCCAGTCATGTCCACCAACTGTCCCTTAAGTGGGCATCATTAACAAACGGCAGTTGTTTTGAAGATGGTTCAACATGTTTGCCATGTCTTCAGAACAAGAGGTTCTGAACAGCAACATCTGCAAGAATCTGCAGTGAAACTGAAATGAAGAAGCATAGATCATGACTCTTATCACACAAAACATGTGACCCCCGATACTCGTGATAAGGAATTTGATTCAAGCGTTAATCCACATTTGGCATCATGGCATCACTAGGCATTCGTCATCAAATTTCCCCCGAAAATTTCTTATTTATTTATTATTTCATCAATTTTTTTTTTATTCCCCTTACATCAAAGTTTGTTGATTTGTTCGTTTCTTTGAATCAACAGAGTGCAGCAGCTCACTGCTTATTGCTTAAATGATCTCAAGAACTTTGATTCAATTTTTAAATCAGCTATTTCTTATCAGGACAAAGAGCAGACGAGTAGGCTTTTGGTCTGTAAAGGAAGAACAGCGTGTTCTGTTTTTTTGGATGGACACTACGTTCCGGATTACTTTATATCTTCTAGATCACTAATGCCTGACCTCCTGCCTGCCCTTAAAAGAATTGTAGGAAGCAGTGTGACCTGACCTACTGTTAAATATGGCCCTAATCTAAAATAAAAACCGATCAATCAAAATCACATTTTATACAGAAGAAGAGGAGGAAAAGCAGCAGCAGGAGGAGGAGGATCAGAACCATGAAAATGTTGAGCAAACTCTTTTTCTGGTCGTAGACTTTTCAACCCGTAACCTTTTAACTCTAGCAATGGACTTTTAAAAGTCAGCTCTTCTAACAAACATTCAGCCTGCCAGAATATACCCCGTGATTCTAAGAGGGAAAGGAATTCTCTTATTTTTATCTTAGAAAATTGCATTGAAATTTATTAATTCAACCAGAATAACAGAGTTGGAAGCAGCGGTGAAATGCCCTTACCTTCGCTACTGGTTTGGAAGTGCGAGCGCGCACATGCCTCTTCTGCGCATACACACAGCCTTCTGTGCATGTGCAGAGGGTCAAAAACAGGACGTAATGACGTCCCGGCGGGTGGGCGGAGCCTCCCGCCGCTGGCGCTACCAGTTCGCACGAGCCGGATAGAACCAGCCGGATTTCACCGCTGGTTGGAAGGGATCTTGGAGGTCTTCTAGTTTGATCCTCTACTCAAGCAGGAAACCCTATACTATTTCAGACTAATGGTTGTCTACTCTCTTCTTAAAAACCTCCAGTGTTGGAACACTCACAACTTATGGAGGCAAGTTGTTCCACTGATTAACTGTGAGGAAATTTCTCCCTAGTTCCAGGTTGGTTCTCTCTTTGATTATAGTTTCCATCCGTTGCTTCTTGTCCTGCTTTGAAGAATAGCTTTTCTTTGTGGCAGCCCCTCAAATACTGGAAGACTGATCTCATGTCACCCCTAGTCCTTCTTTTCATTAAACCAGACATACCCAATTTCTGCAACCGTTCTTCACGTCTTTTCATAGCCAGCCTCCTTTTTTCATAACCTGGAAAAAACTACATTTTGTAAAAAAAACAAAACAGAAAAGGAAACTTACTGTACTGGGTTCAAAGATTTATACCCTTGATTCTCACCTTGTGGGCCATTAGGTTCAGGCAAGTGAGTGAACTTTTCATTGCAGAAATTCCCTTCACAACAACAGAAATATACTTGTGGGTTCTCTTCTGTGGCCACACATTCCTCCCTGTAGATTAAAATAACACAAAAGAAAAGAAGCTAAGCCAGTGAATTCCTGCGTTGTTCCATGCAACTGGACCTGCTTCACTATGCAAACAAATTCTTTTTATTTTCCTATTTTGCTGATGCACCATATTTTATAAGAGGTGCTAAAGGAACAAAATTCCTGGTGGGAGATCTTCAAACCTTGAAAGAAAATTGCAGAAGGTTAAATTAGAGGAAGTAAAGATATAGTTATAATAATCACAGGTGGTCCTCAACTTACAACCGTTATTGGGACTGGAACCTCCGATGCTAAGCAAGATAGTTGTTAGGTGAATTGACTGATTTTACAACCTTTTTTGCCATGGTTAAATGAATCACCACAGTTGTTAAGTGAATCACTGCAAGTTGTTAAATTACTAGCACGGTTGTTAAGTAAATCTGGCTTCCCCATTGCTTGTCAGATGGTCGCAAAAGGGGATCACAGGACCCCAGGACACTGCAACCGTCATAAATATGAGTCAGTTGCCAAGCGTCTGAATTTTGAAGACGTGGCTATGGGAATGCTGCAACGGTCAAAAGCGTGAAAAATGGACATGTCTCTTTTTTTCCCCAGTGCTGTTGTAACTTTGAATGGTCACTAAACGAACTGCTGTAAGTCGAGGACTACCTGTATGGTATCACCACCTATGGAATCTTTATGTTGCAAGTCCACACAAAGCTACCTGAAAGAGGAGTGGCTCCTGATGCTTTTCTCTGCATGGAGGGCAGAGAAATCAAGTGGTCAATGAATAGATGATGGAGCCTTCACAAATAATGGCAGCCTGGCATATCATCCAGGATGGTAATCAGCTTGTTACTATGAACCAATTTTCACTAGTTTTGTCCCCATTTTCTATTATTGTTAATCAAATCTACAAGCCAATCTCTTATGAAATAATTCCCTTTTCACAGAAATTATAAGAATTTTTGGCTGTCCTTCTATGGCAGGCTGACCTGCCCTTTGGGTGCAATGCAAAAACACAGTTGGTAGCCAAACTGTTTCATCCTCTCGAACCTTGTGCTCCAGCTTTATCATGACGAAAGATCTGGGCCATAGTTTGTAAGCTCTACCGAGTAAACTATTTGCACACAAATAGTTGTGTGAACCCATGGTTAATGCCTCCCTTAGGAAGTGCAGAAAAGAGAACGGACATCCAAGAAAAATTGCTTAGTCTTGAAAGCCTACCCAAGAGTAAGTGGGCCATTATCTCTATATCCTGCAATTCCACCCTAAATGGATAATATTTCTTGAACTTCAGTTTTGTTACGTTGTTTGTATTTAGCACATCCTTCTCTGAGATGCCACCAAGATCCATCAAATGTCCTCCTAGTGGTATCAACCAGCACATGGGAAGGCCATGTCTCATCACATGGACAACAGGGAGTCAGAAGAGTGTTCAACTGAACAGAGTACAGGTAGTCCTCGACTTATGACTGGTCACTTAAGTTCTGATGGACCTATCTGGAAGGTACTTATGACCCACAGTCAAAGTTCTGATGGCTGGGGGCCAGGGGTGAAATGCTCCCGGTTCGGACCAGATCGCCTGATCCGGTAGCGATGGAAGCGGGTGGTAGCAAAAATCCCTGCCCACCTCCCATGCCCAGCTGAGCCGTGTAATCATCAGAGGCTTTTTTTTTTTTTTTAATTTTTAAAAGCATTTTTTTCTACAACCTCTTCGGCCGAAAAAATGCCTTTAAAAGTAAAAAAAAAGCCTCTGATGATCACGCAGCTCAGCTGGGATTGTCAAAAGCTTTTAAAAGCATTTTTTCTACAACCTCTTTAGAGGTTGTAGAAAAAAATGCTTTTAAAAGCCTCTGACGATCCCAGCTGAGTTGCCTGATCGGCAGAGGCTTTTAAAAGAAAAAAAGCCTCTGCCGATGAGGCAACTCAGCTAGGATCATCAGAGCCTTTTGAAAGCATTTTTTTACAACCTCTTCGCCGAAGAGGTTGTAGAAAAAATGGTTTTAAAAGTTTTTTTAAAATGGCCACGCCCACCGTCACATTACCCCCCCACCCACCCACACCAAGCCACGCCCACAGAACCGGTAGTAACAAATTTTAGATTTCACCACTGCTGGGGGCCCTCTACAGTCATGCGAGCACTCGTTGGGCGCTCAGCAACCGATCACAATTTCAAAACCAGGTCATAAGTATCTTTCTGGAGGTCCGTTGTAGCATCAAATAGTCACTAACCAACAAATCCTCAGGACTACCTGTAATGCAAATAGTCCATGACTCATTCCTGATGATTGGAGTGCTTGCAAGAATCATGGTCAGTTCAAAGAAATGTTCCTACCATCAGCCCACGTGAAATGCAATTCTGAATAGGTTCAGGCCACCCAATATATTTGTTTTTCTCTCAGCAATGACCATCATCCCACTTCTTGTTATAAATCTAACTTTTTCTTTCAACCACTATTACTCATGTGGTTGTAAACATTTAATAAGCAAATGTTTGCAAAAAAAAGAAAACCAACTAAGTGCATTTAAAAGGGATACAGCTGAGTGGTATAGCTGACGCCATCAAAACAAAAACAAAATAGAACGCGGATGCATGTGTGGCCTTCCTGAAATGGGCAATTAATGGGCAACAGTAGCTCAAAAACAGGTCCACGGTTCCAGTCATTCTGCCTCGACCTTAACTTGTTTTTCTCCAGATTTGCTGCTCCAAATGATTAATTTTCTCCTTTTTCTACAGAAAACAAGCAAACAAGAGCACATGATTTCCCACATACAGGATATTCTCTTGAGCAGGCTGGAAAAGGACTGGGCTTTCATTGTGCAAAAACACACGGGAGATATTTTTTACTTTACCGGATTCTACAATTACATGAAAAAGCAGGCAATTGTTGACCTAATGTAGAGACCTTAAATTGAAGTCAGCATGACCGGCAGTCTTCCCACTCCTCAAAGTAGCTCTGTGAAAATAGCCCCTTTCAGCACGGAATACCTTCTTAAGGTGAGTGAAGGCAGATAGAGGCATTTCAGTGGGTGGGTGGGTGGGAATAGGGGAACTGCTGCTCCCCAGTGGTTGTTGAACTATGATTTGCAGAAGCTCCAGCTAGTACAGCTCATCCTCGACTTACGACCACAACTGAGCCCAAAATTTCTGTTGCTAAGCGAGACATTTGTTAAGTGAGCTTTGCCCCATTTTACCACCTTTCTTGCCACGGTTGTTAAGTGAATCACCGCAGTTGTTAAGTTAGTGATGGGGTTGTTAAGTGAATCTGACTTCTCCATTGACTTTGCTTGTCAGGAGGTCACGAAAGGGAGGACCATATGACCCCGGGACTTGAGGGCACATAATCAATCAATCAACTTACTGCATTTGTTTTTATTTTATTTTTAATTTTGTTCACTGCCCAGTCATCCAATCGCTACTTGACTCCATAGCAGTTCTGGTTGCTATACAATATTAAAAACAAGTAACATATTCATTGTTTTAACTTCCATTAAGTCTGCTTTGTAAATCCCTACTTACGCATTAATAAGAATGAAATCAAATGGCTTTTACAGTCTGGCTACTATAAGACTTTCAATGCTCCACTCATTCTGACCCACTGATAGAACGACATAAATAAAATAGGTGGGATGGCATGATTTAGTGGTTACAAAAGAGCAGGCTAGCTGGAAGGCGGAGTTAAGTGTGTCATGAGTTTAGACTCGTTGTGTTGCCACAAGAGATCCAGGTTCAGCTCCCTGCGAATTCCATTGAATTTAGCCAATTTAACTTTGACCGTTAGCGGACTAAATTCTTTTTTTAGGTAGCAATAATAAACTCTTGTGTCTTGAACTCAAAGGAATGCTCCTGGTTATTTGCTCCTGACAGTTGTTTACATTAAGAATATGAACCATGGAGCCAAGATTCCATTGCTGACAGCCGATCTGTGATCATTCCTGTGGTGTGAGCTACTAAACAGGAATTTAGGACAATGTCTCTATTTCAAGAAGAATTCCTACCGCTTCACTCTTACCTGTCATAACAATTGAAGTCATCAAGCCAACATCCTTTCTTCACTAGTTCGATGGATCCAGAGTTGTTTCTCCAGGACGCATAGCAATGCAGGCGCTTGTCTTTTTCACCTTCACAACGCTCCACTCCACTCTGGTTAGTCTTCTCCAGTTCCCAGTTGGCATTGTAATAAATGCATTCTCTTGTCTCCGCCTCTCCCTGGCTGGATCCTGGAGGAAGATGCAAAAGAATCAAACATGAATGATCGTATCGTGGGGAAGAAAAATAATGAAGGCTGGTCATTGATCATGCTGACCAGGTATGGTGAAGCTTGTAGTCCAGAACATCTGAAAGACACCAGAATGAGGAAGGTTACTGTCCCTATTTCTTACATTCCCAGAAAGTCATAAATAGAATATGAAATGAGATCAAACTCCATTCCCCACTAGCATTGATGATGTTGTCTAGTTTGGTAATGAAATGTCTCCATGAAAAGAACCAAGCTCAGAGAGCACCAAGGACTTCTCAAAAGGTAGACAACTCAAAACCTTCTAGATAAAACTAAACCCAGTACTTCCAGCATCCTCACTACTGCTATCAAGCTTACTGGATGACCTTGCTTGAAACCTGTAAAAGATTAGATTGCCTATTCACAGAGTTTGCACAAACAGAAAGTCCTCACTTCATGACCAATTTGAAGTTACAACAGATGTCCCCAAAGCTACTTATAATCAATTTTTCAAAGTTGTGATGGCCTTCATCAGAGGCAAATGACACTGGAATGTTAAGAACACCAAAAAATTGACAAAATTAGTGAATAACTTGTCTGGGAAACCAAAAGGACTGGTGATGTTGCTTGCACAAAACCGAACACATCTGTCTCAGATTGGTACCAGAGGAAGAGGACAAGGTTTTGGTGGTCAGGGACCACACTCAAAATTTCCTTTAGAAGAGAAGACCACAGTGGTGGAAACAAAAATATAAAACGGATAAGGGAGAGGTTTTCTCTAGAATAGAGTGAAGCCTGAGAATTCACTTCTCATCATTTGCAACTTAGGGTTCCTTGCCTCAAAAAACCTCTGTTTTTTTAATTTTTCGGCCAACTCATTTCTCAAGGGCCAGAAGGTTGGCATTCCCACATTTATACAACAACTTTTGCCAATCGGTTGGGAAATGAAGATTGTGTAAACCTCAACTGGCAATAATGTCCCACAATGTCCTAAGATTTCTTGATGAAAAGAGAGGCAATGAACTCATATAAAGCTAAACAAGAGATTAATTTGCATCTCTGTTTGCTTTCTGTGGTTTTATCTATTTTAAGGCCCTCTTCATCTCATCCAAGGCAATTCTGCTCAATTTCCTTAGATTTCCAAAGCACAATCCAAATAACTAAGAAATAGAATATTGATCTTTCTAGGGTCTATCAGATCTCCCAATTCCTAATTATTTAACAAAAGGCTCATAATGGGTGCTCATTTTTTACACTCACTCATCTAATACAGGGACATATCTTTAAATTACAATGTTCAGATTATTTTAGGCTTGATAATCATGACACTAGTTTATTTTTCTGCAATTAGCAAATATATATAATAACCATAACAATGAAATATAGTCTGTACTGCTTATTTTAAGTTGGACTAATTAAACAGTTTTAAAATAAAGACAATTTCATTTTTTACTAATTGATTGGTAAGTATATTCCTATTAGTAGCAGGATTTACTGTATTGTTACCAATTTGCAACTGTACTGAAACAGCCAAATAATTACAGTTTCAAAATTGTGTCAATTTTGTCAATTGTGTCACAATTGTGTCAAGTTTTGAAGATTAATTAAATTGGTTAATACAAATGTTGACAATTATGCCAAATTATTTTAATATTTTTTTTGCCTCCTGCAATCTGTAGCAAAACAGGATCAGTTATTATGCAAACAGATCTCTCCGCCTTTTATAGAATTTGGGCATGTATAAAGAAAAGAGGTCTTCTGGAATGAAAAAAAAGTCAAGAAATGATAATAATAACAACAGGCTTCATCTTGATATCAAAAGTGAAGATATATGGCAAGAAGAAAGAATTAATCACAGCCATTTTCAAACTTCATTTTCTACACATGGTACACATCTATATCAGGCTTTATCTTATTATTATTGCATTAAAAAAGTTTTAGATCTTAGATCAACTTAATCTGGTAGAAGGTAATCACTATAAGAAAAATTTATAGTATTCTGGAGGAGGAAATCTCCTTTGTCTTTTCATGGATGAAATGTAGCAATAGCTTTTTTTTTAAAAGCAAGGAAAATATAGGAACTAAACACAACTGTTTCATTTTGTAAGGCTTTGTAACTTTGATGCTGGGAAAATGCTTCAGAAATCAAAGGAATTGTTTTCAAATAACTTTGTTTCTCAACACAACACCCCACTTCTGCTTTGCAGAAAGATTAAAGAAACTCCCACAGATTCCCAATTTAGTGATCAGATGGGCCATTTGCAATAGAAGGACTCATTAAAACTTTCAGAGATGGGGCAATTCCATGCAGCATGTTTTACAGAATGTGCAGCAAAATCTAAAATTTGCTCACAATAGACTTTTCTTTTTTCTTTCTTTTCTTTCTTTCTTTTTCTTTCTTTTCTTTCTTTTTTCTTGCCCCCCCTCTTTTCCACTCTACTTTTCTTCCTTTTCCTCCCTCTTTTCTTTCTCCCTCCCTCCCTTTTCTTCCTCACTCACTTACTCCCTCTTGTTCCTTCCTTCTCCCTTCCTCCTCTTTCCCATTCTGTTTTCTTTATTTCCTTCCCCTCCCCACTCTTTTCCTTCTTCCCTCTGTCCCTCAGTCAGCCAATGTAACCCAGGAGATAAAGGTATATAAAGGAGCACTTTATAATAATGTATTATCTTCAGGGAGGAAGGGGTAGGCTGAATTACGTTGTCCCACAAATGCCTTGTAAACCACTGTGTTGAAAAACTTACTGCAAATAACACATCAACTAATAATTTGTCTGCCTTGAATGAATAGCACTGATTTTGTTTGATTACTTCCTGATGGCTCCCGACAATGTAGTTTTCAACTATTTAAACTGTGTGGATTTCAACTCCCAGGATTCCACAGCTAGTAAGCCTGCTGAGGAATTCTGGGATTCGAAGTCCACATCTCTTAAAACTGGCTGAGTTGAAAACGACTGTCCAGGGCAACAGTGTCTTGCAAACATCTAACAGCCAATTTAAGAATAACATCCAAAAATTCATAGATGATAAAACAGATGTTTTCATAGCTACCTTGAGCACTCTGGTTCCTACAGCCAAGTTCTAATCTATTTCTGTACCTATTATATATGCCCTGTTGAAAAAACAAATTCCATTTTTGCAGGTAGAACTCAGTATTTCAGTACACACTCAATCATTACCCTGGAACCTGGCTTGCCTTTTTTTGAGAAGCTTCCCATCTTTCCCTCCCTAATAAACTTATTGTTTTCCTAATTTATGGTCAGTGTGTTTAGGTATTCCCTCCTCATTTTTCTGGGGGTTATTTTGGAATACATTTGGAATTTGAAAGAGGGCTGTAGGGGTTATAGACACCACCGTATTTCATTCATCAGGATTTGCCAAAATTCCTTCCTCCTTGGAAAGAAATTGCAAACACCCATTTTCTTCCTGGTTAATCGATCCACCATCGAACTCAGTGAGAATTAGTAGAAAATAAATGCGGGAGGTTTTACCTTTGTATTCTGAATGGAATAAGTCAGAACCTGTAAGCCTTCTTTTTCCACACACACACACACACCATTGATCATACCTAAACTGCTTTGGAGGCATTTTTTTGGCTGAAGAATAGGTTCAAAATGTCACAAGTGGATGGATGGATGAACAATAAAGTTTTGGTACTGGAGTGATGGTTCTTCTTTGATCAACCTCATGTCTGTTGGATTTAGTTTTATATCCCACTGCAGAGGTTTAAGGATATCACACGGAATGTGTTATTTTTTCCTACAACATCCTCCTTTTCTCCAGTCAAAGGAAGCCTTTTATCTCAACAACAACCCTAGGAGGTAGGTGGGAAGAAAGAGAGCAACTTGGCCTTCCACAGTTCAGGTTGCACTTGTTAGATGGACTCCCTTGTTCCCAATCCCACACCTGAACCACTTACTGCCATAAATCTCACTTTGGAAAACATCTTTGTATGATCAGATATAATAAACATTATAAAGCAGTTAAACAGGTAAGAGGGAAAAGGTCATAAGCCTCTACTTAAAAGGGAGAAATCTCCTCTGAAATCATAAGCCTTCCTTTAAAGCTGAGGCTGTACAGCGGCTTTGTTAAAAACAAGTGTTTTTTATCCACAAGAGTGAAAAATAATTATAGATATACAGCTTTTAAAACCCAAGTATAATCATTTCAGGTCAGAAGTCACTTACAGATGCCCTAAAGCAGCTTATCAGATGCTCTGAATCTGCTTCAAAGGGTGCTGAGTTGACCAAAATTGCTACTCTGCCTTTTCAATATTCCTATTGGTCCTTCTTGACATTTTCAAGTACCATAATTCTAAATCACGTGGCTTGATAATCTAAGGAGGAGCCGGGACTGAATGCAATACCAAATAAGCAGGCAAGAGAAGGTTAAGTTCATAAGGGCAAACTTCAGGTAAATCACGGCTCCTAAGAACTAAATTAGATTTGTTTTTCCACCGTTGGTACCTCAACACAGTTGTTCATCCATCTTCTTGGCAGAGTAAGACAGAAACTGTGCCGTTTATCTTGGGACTGTCAAGACAGACTGTGTCAAGCACTGTTATGAAGTTTTCTGCACATCTGGATCCAAATATATTAGGAAAGATGCCTGAGAAACCCTGGAATGGAATTCCTCAGTTCAAGATGCCCTACTCTCTTAGTAAATCTTAACTATGACTACCGGCATATCAATGAGAAAGGAAAATTAAAGTTCACCCCCACCCTACCCCGATTTAAACAGAAAAATGAACATTTGTCTAATTTTTCAGGGATAATCTTTTTATGACAATTCCCTCCCACTAGTTCAAGGCCTAACTCTTTGAAGAAGTCTACAATGCATGGAAAGACGAACAAGAAGACAACTAGAGACAAGGTGGACAGACTCAGTTATGGTAGTGATGAATGCATCTTGGAAGAGTTGAAGGACCAAGTTAGAGAGAGAACATCGCAGAGAAAAATCTATCTATGTGGTTGTTAAGAGTCAACTTGGCATGTAACCAGTCAATTA